GAGGGGACAGGGAAGGGGACAGGGAAGGGGACAGGGAAGGGGACAGGGAAGGGGACAGGGAAGGGGGAGGGTGCCAGGATGGAGGGATCTTTGTGCCAGGGGAGGTGGCCTGCAGCAGCCTCTGGGATGAAGCTGTGCAGTGCTCATCCACGGCTCCCCACAGCCGGGCAAACTCCGGAGCTGCTGGTGTCCCAGCTCCAGATCAGCAGGAGGAGGAGGAGATGCTCAGAGGATGGGAGAGGAAGGCTTGGCTTGAACGCAGCAAGACTAATAGTCAAGCAAGTGGGGCTAAGCACAGCTTGGCGGTTTCAAGGACCTGGAGGAGGTGCTGCCTGGACCAACACCACCTTCCAGGAGATGCTGGAAACCTGTAACCAGCCCCCTGTAACTCAGCATTTAAATGGGGTTAAGGGGACAGTCAGAGACAAAGGAACACCAGGACACAGCCATAGATCAGTGCTCTCATTTTGGCTGTATACTAAGAAAGGGCAATAGGGCAGAAATACAATTACTGCCCAGAAACCCCGTTTTGCGGAAGGTAGGTCTTTTCAAACTCACCTGTCATCTTTTCTTGACACAACTACAGCTCTGGTTGATAGAGGAACTCTGCTGATAGGATAAAATCGCATTTCTTCTGGGTATCCAATTTATTATGGGGTGAGATGTTGATTAAAAATGTGTATTATATTGCATTAAGAGGGCATATATTCAATGAATTAAAGACCAGCTCAGTGTCAGATTTCCAAAGGTAATTACTAATGGAGATGCACTGGGGAGTGAAGTATTGTCTGGCAAGGGTCTCTGGGGCTGATTTTTGGTTTCACACCAGTCATTCCCATTTTCATCTGTTTGAGGAACAACGCCACAGCTTCCCTGGGAGCGCTGGAGACAGTGGGTGGAGGAATGGGGGGGTTCCCACCCCCCTGGCCTTGGGACCACCTGATCTGGGCCTGCACCCATCCTCTTTCCTTGACCATCCCCCCTGGAGCTCCAGCTGTGCCTGTGTTTGCTCTGAGGACCCCAGCACTGCTTTCTCATGCAGGTCAGCGCAGTTGCCACGGGACTCCCGAAAGGAGACTCCAGGTGGGTATGGACCAGAAAGCCCTTCCAAGCCACCCACTGCGTTCCCCCATGGTGTGACCTGGCTGGTGCCCAGGGTCCCAAGGACGGGGTAGACCTCAGCAGGTTCACCTGCTAAGGTCATTGCTGCACATCTCATCCCTCTGCTCATTACTGTAGTGGGGCTTGGGTACTGGTGGTATTTTTGGCCTCTTCTGTGGCGGAGATGAACATGTATCCCTGGGCACATTCTCTGGACTCGCTGGTGTGAGGCATTGGCTTTTTCATTTTGCAGGTCTGGATCAGGCTATGCACAGCTCCTGGAGTTGCCCAGATCTGGCTGGTGCAAGGCACAGCCACTCCAGGGGGACCAGGAGCAACCAAGGTGCCAGAGACCCTGTCTTCTCCTGCTCTGCAACAGAGACAAGGTCCCCAAACCACTGAAGCAGTGGGAAGGAGATGTCTCACCAAACATGCTCGAGCCCTGCTGAGCCACATAGACACTAACAGTGCCAAGGGGGGCACCTGGAGGGTTGGCCCCCAGCAGCAATGACCAGGCTGGGTACTATTGACAGCCAGGCTCTGCCCATTGTCCAGTCCAGGAGCCATCAAGAGTCAACCCTGGGCCCCATCAGGCATCCCTTGGATGGCTGTGCCACCTAGGGCTGACATGGCCTGTCCCCTCCTGCAGTGACAGAGCTGTGCCATGCCTTTGGGCACCCTCCAACTTTGTGTTGCTCTGTGCCCAGTTACGACCTGTTCCTGCTGTGAGGACTGTGCTGCTGGGCAGGGTGGGAACCCTGCAGCCCTGCGCTTCTGCTGACCAAGCTGTTCCCTGGCTGTGACCAGCACTGCCAGGGTCAAGCACAGAAAGGGGAACAAGTTTCTCTCTCGTGCAAAGAAAGCGAAACTTGGCACTTCTCTTCCCCAACCAGGCAAACCACCATGCATGCAAGTACATCCTCCCCCCCCACACCTCCTCTTCCTCCCTGCTCCTGAGAAAGAGGTTCCAGCAAACAGAGCTTCTGCTCAGACTGGTCCGTCTTCACCCCCAGCGAGGAGGTAGGTCACCCCAAATGGCTGGGGACACATTCCTCATCTGCCACCGCTCTCCAGTCCTTGCTCCCTGTCCCCTTCTTTCTTCACTTCCCCCTTCCCCAAGATTGGGGTAGGTCTGAGTGCTCTGGACCTCCCTCCTCTTTCCCAGCTCTGCGTGTTGCAGATCTGGACCCCTTTTGCCTGTTTATCCCTCTCCTGTTTATCCCTCTCCTGTTGTGTCTCTGCACCCCTTCCTCACTTGTGCTCTTCAGTCCGTGGGACCACTGCCCCACACACCCATGCTTGGCTCCCCCAACACTGGAAGAACCATACTCTGCATGCGTGTGATGTGTGACCACCCATCTCCAGGACAGGCACCAAAGGGGTTATGCTGTGCTCCATGTCCTAGAACCATAGAATCACTGAATTGTTTAGGCTGGAAAAGCCCTTTAAGATCATCAAACCCAACCGTTCCCCTAACCCTGCCATCCCACCACTAAACCCTGGCCCTAAGCACCTCATCTGCCCAGCTTTTAAATACCACCAGGGGCGGGGACTCAACCCCTTCC